ACACTACTACCGTCGTTGAAGATTACGTGGTACAACAACAACAACAAAATTTTTTTTCATTGAATAAACTATTGTGCAAAATCGAATGAATGATAGATTTCCAATAATATTAGTTGACTTACAGTAAAATAGCTTTGAAAATTGCACATTTTTTCTCTATATCTAATCAACTTAAGAATTTTAGATTGGAGAGATAAAACTCATAAAACAGCAGCCGTGGCACAATGATTAGAGTTCTGGCTTACAATCAAAAGGTTCCATGTTAGCTCTGACTAAATAATCTTGCGACATCGATATAAAAGGAGGCGTGTATTTCCTAATTACATGCTTTTCCACGGCTCTGCACAGCTGTTTTAGAGTGATAATAATAATAAACTTTCACAAATATAAAATAAGGTATCTGAAAGAAGATCAAAGGATCTTGTCGTCAGAACCTTAACGTAAGGGGTGTTACTAAAATATTTATAACTTTTGAAAAATTAAAAATAATTTTGTTTTGTAAAAGGAATAAAAATAACAATAAAATGTTTTATCATATGACATTTAATATAATAGTAAAAAAACTTCTTTTAGTTTAGAAAAAACGCGAGAAATGATGAAGTTGGCTGAACTTTAGTAATTTATTGTTACTTTTTATCAACAAAAAAATTGAAAATATATATTTCTAATATTTATTAACAAGTTATAATCTTTATTAGACTATAATAAAAAAAAAAAAAAATTACTCAAACTTTATGTTAATTGAAACAGGGATAATTAGGTCATAAAACAAAATCGCAAAAAAATATTAGAAAAATTGTTTTAAAGTTTAATTTGCTACGTCGTTGCTTTAATAACATAAACAAAAATTTACGCGAAAAGCTAAAAAAGTTGCTCAACTTGCCAAGTTTGAAAACATATTCGTGATTGAAACAGCCGTGTCTGTGATAGATTGTCAAGTCTACTCTTTAACAAGTCTTTACTCTTTAACAAGTCCTTAATATTTTATTTTAAAAAAATTGTGTAATCTTTTTAATATAGTATTACTGTTAAATCTCAATAACTGGAACCCTCGGGCTCCAAGTAACTCGAAGTGTTTTTAAATTTTTAATGAATCCGGTTTTTCATAAAAAAACCAATAACACGAACTTTAACTTTAAGCCTGACCTTTTTCTTTGTCACTTGGTTGTTCAACAGTTTAAACAATATTTGTGGCATGTATAATTGTAGGTCTTGTTTAGAAATCTTTACTAAATCTAAGAAAGGTTATGAACGGTGCTTCGGATTTAAATAAGATTTACAACAATATAGACAACTAGCCTCTCTACTTTAAGCTTAATGATAAAACTTTATTAAGATTAAATGGTACTTTTCTACTATAAAAATTAAAAAACCTATTAGCTTCTAGTAGATGTGATGATTGGTTGTTGGAAATTTTTGGGAAAACTTGCCTTTAGATCAATTTCTTTCATCGGCGTTTTATATATATATATATGTCGCCGTTTGACAAAACTTACTATAACTAAATAAAATAAATAAAAATTTATATGACAGAAGCAAAACGAAAACTATATTTTGTCTTCCACTAAGCCCCATAATATATACCATACATAGAATAGCTTTTAAAAGTAAAGATTATACAAAACCTTTTAAATAATAATTTAATTTTCCTAAAAATTATATTTCAAATAAAGAAAATAAAATTAATAAATAAATAAAAAAAAATTAAAATAAAAAATAATTTGTTTTTGTATTTTATGCAGTAATTACTTTTTTTTTTAATTTCTTATGTTAGAATGATTAAAAAAAAGAAATTAAAAAAGTAAATAAATAAAAAAAAACACAAAAAAAAAAACTAACAAAAATAAACACAAAAAAAAACATAGAGATAAGAAAAAGATAAAAAGTGAGTGCACTCTCACAAATAAATACACGCCAAACAATTACGGGTACTATTTACATAAGATTTCAAGAATATATAGTATACCAGTAGTATACTAGTGGCCACCGGACCAAAAAGAGACGTCTTTTGAACGTTCAAAAGACGTCCAAAACGTTCAAAAGACGTTCAAAAAACGTCTAAAACGCGTATAAGCCGTTTATAAAACGTCTTTTTTACGTCCGTGCCCGCAGGGTATAAACTTTTTTACATCCTCGGTAATAAACAAATGATAAAATTAAATCGTGTAAAAGTTTACAATAGAATTTTTTTTTCCTTTTTATGTGTATATTTATCATTAATTAATATATTCATAACTATATAAATCAAATTTTTTTTTTTTAATTATCTTCGCTTCCAACAAGGCTGCAAGCAACGATTAATTAGTGTTGGAAGTTACTGGAAGAGAAAAGATGAAGATTGTAAAATCAGGAAAGCAAGATGAAGGAAGCGAATTCCAAAGAACTGATGTTCGAGGAAAAAAACTAGACGAATAAGAGTTTTTGGAGCACTTAGGAACAGTAACAGAAAAAGGATGAGACTTAATTGAATGACGAGTAACACGAGAATGAAATTTAGTAAATGGCACAGGAGACGCTAGCTCTTTAGAGCAGTGCCCATTATAGTATTTGTAGAAAAGAGAAAGAGAAGCAACATTACGACGATGTGACAGAGGTTGAAGGTTGGCTGCAAGAGCAGGTCCAACTATGTTTACAATGCGTTTTTGCACCTTGTCTAAAAGAGAAAGGGCATCATTAGAAGATCCGCCCCAGATATGGCAACAGTATTCCATACAAGGCCGGATTTGAGATTTATAGAGATAGAGAATAGAATCCAGAGTAAGAAAGTGACGAGCTCGATAAAAAGAAGCAACTTAATCCGTTGCAAAATTAGCAGATGCTAATTTTGCAACGGAAACTTGCTTGGAAACCTTATATCAAATCCGTTGCAAAATTAGCAGATGCTAATTTTGCAACGGTTTTGACATAAGGTTTCCAAGAAAGATCAGAAGTAAGAGTTAATCCTAGAAGATGAAGGGTAGGAGACTCATCGAGTAAATTACCGTAGATAAATATTGGAAGGTCTAAATTATTGCAATAACGATTGGCCGAAAAAAATTGAGTTTTATTTGTGAGAATATCTGGAAATTAAAAATGTAAATTAAAAAGAGTATAGGGCCAAGGTTTGAACCTGAAAATCACAAGAGTACTCTTATTTAACGCCTTAGAAGAAATTTAATTCATTGTTGTCGATTAGAAGAATTTGCCTAAGTTTGTATTTAAGTTTTTGTTTTAAATTGGTTAAGCGAAGAGAGTGTTTTAAGATCATTATTTAAAAGTGTATTCCATAATTTAGGTCCTCGATTTGTAATAGTATTTAGTGGCTGAATAATAGATTTTGGATTGACTAAAGTTATTTTTTGAGAATCTTGTGCTGTATATATAATTTGTTTTTTTAAATATTGAGTAAAATAAAGGTGGTGTTTTTTTTTTTTTAATATAAATATACGCATATAAAATACTATTTTAAAATCATTTTTAAATTTATCTTTATGATATATTGATGAACGTGTCTATTGATGAAGTTCAAAAATTTTAAAGCGTTTTGTCAACATTTTAAAAAATTAGGGAAACTGTGAGAACAAAAAGTGAATTTTTCATTTTTGCAAAAAATTAAAATAAAGATAAAAATTATTTTATAATTTGTTATACTTAATTGCAACATCCTATGCAATTTAATTTTTTAAATAAACAACCATTGTGATCCAAAGTAATTGAAAAGCTTGTTTTTGAGCTTAGGTATGTATTTTTTTCCTCGTGAAACTTCTGCCAACTGTTCACTTAATTCAAAAAAACGAAAAAAAAAATTTTTTTTCACTTATTTAATGGTGAACCATGTTAAAAATTATATTAAAAAAATTAAATAAATTACTTTAGTTATTTAAATAAAGATTTAAAAATACTGCAGATCCTATAAATCATAAAATAAACTATTTAGTTTACAAAAATGCCTTTCAATTTAGTATTATAAATAATTCGATTGAATGACAATGATTTAGCTATATTTTCACTGTAAATTATCAAAACTTCCAAAATTAAACGTCTAAAAATATCCCGCCAATTTGAGTTTTTTTAAATTTAATATTTGAGTTAATTTAATTTTTTATTTTTGAAAGTTTTCATTATATACTAAATTATCGTTGCAGTTAAAAATGCGATTTAATTAATGATTTTTTTTCTTTCTTTTAAGTACAAACTTTTACAATTATAATTACAAAAATTTTAATATACACTTTGCATTCAATAATACCTTCTTATATCAAGGTAATAAAATTTTTTGAATGAGTTTTGTATAGGTTCTTCAAGTAAAATGTCCAAAATTTCCCGCCTTTTAGAAATATTTTAGGCGCTCAAAAAGATTCGATTTTCAAATCGAATTTGCAACATTTCAGAAAGTAAAAAAATTTATACTTAAAACCATTCATGAAAGAAAAAAGAAAAGAAAAGAGGAAGAAAAAAAGTAAATTTGCATTCATTTAAATTCCATTTATTTGACAACAAAAAAATTTACTAAGAACATTTTATTTTTGAATAAAATTTTTTTTTATAATAATACATGCGTTTAAACTACTTATTTTAAAATTATTTTTAAATTTATCAACATGATAACTTGTTGAACGCGTTCAAACTACTTAACTCCACTTTTTGCAAATTTTTTAGCTTTGATAAATTCTAAATCGGCACTTAAGATCTAATTGCAAAATCATTTTCTCAATTTTTGGTTTTACTTATTCACTAATACTGAGAATTCTTTAAATATAAATCGGGTCATAAAGCGCGTAAGTTTATTTCGACCCTCCCCCCAGCTCCCTTATTTTGCTAAAAGCTTGTTTTAAGTACCTCCGCTTTTAACCTACTTACCCAACAATTTCTATATTTTTGAATTTAGTGTCTCCTTACTTTTATAATTGACCAACTGCCCCTCCATCTCATATACGCTATTTGCAAACCCCCTCTTCCCCTCGGAGCGAACATACTTTATGGACGATCGCTTATTCATTTTTTAAATAATACTAGAAACATAAAAAAAAAAGTCATAATCTTCTCTTTAACGATTAAAGGTCAAAATATACAATAGGGTGGTATCCAAATTATTTATTTAATTAATTTACTGGACGACGCCAGACAGCTCCTACTATTTTCAAAAAAATACCATAAAAAATTTAAAAATAATTATCTTATGTAAAACACGAAAAAAAAAAATTATCAAAAAACTTGCATTTTTAGTTTATTAAAAAAATTTTTATATATAAAAGATAGTTTTGAAATCTAAATAACTTTTTTTGAATACCAACCCAGCTGGCAATCGGTCCAAAAAAGGTGTTTCATAAACGTTTCCGAATTTATAAAAAAATTTATTTCAATATCTGAAGACTTGATAAAACGAGGTTTTTGGTATTATTTTAAGACTGACCCCTACCTTTTTCACTGATTTAATTTAAAAACAAACTTTAAAAAATAGACTTGGATTCATTTGGAACAAAATCTTGCAAAATATATAGCATTCAAAATATTGAAAAAAATTTATAGACTTGGATTCATTTGGAATAAAATTTTGCAAAATATATAGCTTCAAAATATCGAAAAAAGGACACAAAATATAATTCTGCTAAAAATTAAAGACATAAATTTGCTGACAGGTTTTTCATGTATTATATAAAAATGACAACTTGTTTGCCGGTGAGGCATTTCTTCTGATTTTTTTCAACGCATTTATAACGCGTAATGATGATATGTAATATTTATGAATAAATCTAATAACGCATATTGCTAAAAAAGACTAGTATCACAATCTCTTAAATAGTAACACGGCAATCAGTCAAATATCAATTTTCAGCAGATATTTTAAAAATTTAGTATATTTATGTTGTAGATTTTCTCTAAGTTTGTCTAAGTTTATTTATCTCCGAATTCCTAAAAAAAAAAAAGTAATATCAACAACAATATAACACGCACAAGTAGCGGAAAAGCAAGAAAGTCTCAATGCAATTAATTAATAGCCTCATATATTAATATTTAACTTAAATAAATAGAAACAACGATAAGAATTAGGAAAATATTTTTTAATTGCAAAAGTTTGTTTTAGTTTTATTAAAATTTTTTATATTTCCTAAAACAATGATTACTTAAAGATAATTTAATCATAACTAAAAATAAACCTAATCAAAACTAATAGCAAAAGTAAAAAACATTAAAAATGATTTATCTATAAAATGATAAAAACAATTTAATAAAATAATAAAAAGTTTAATATCGTTGGTATACAAGGAAAACAAAATGATAAAAAAAAAAGCATCATTTCGAAATGATGAACAAATAAATTTTTGCGTAATAAATAATATAGGTATATAATATATACCTAATAAGTTTTTGTTTAATAGTTGAAATAAAAAATGTCAATAACTCATTAATAATTACTTAATTAAATTTGTGTGGTAAATCAAACGATAGAGAATCTAAAATACTAAATAGTGGTATAAATAACTCCATACTGCCAAAAATGGGCGTACATTTCCTTGCAAACCGACGATATATTCTTATTAAATTAAAATCAATTACTTAATTAATTAATTAAATTAAAATCAATTACTTACAATTACAATTACAAGGTAACTTAATAAATATGAGGAGGTAATAAACTAAACGTGATATATTAATTAGATATTAAAGTCAGAAAAAAACAAACATTTGTGATTATAACAGTAAAATTATACTTTTTGTTGTTTTTGATTCATTCCGGTTTGATTGCCTCAAATTGACTTGTGTTAGCAAATGTTGACGCCCGGTCTTTCTTAATCCACTAAAAAAAATTAAACTTGTTTCTCGAAAGTTAACATTAAATGCCATCTTATGATGACTGTTGAAACAATACGTAACATCATTAATTTGGAAAATATCACGTATTATTCGTACAGCCGCATATAACTCAAATCTTTATATAACCTAATAAAACTTAAAAACTTACGGTACTTATAGAAAAAACTTTATGAATACATTAAACATATTCGACGTGAATACAGTAAAATATTCAAACATTTAATGTGCATTTTGTGAACATAAGAGGCCTCTTTAACACTATTAAATATAGCAATGCAGTGTTTTATTTATAAAATAATTTTTTTTTAATAAAACAACTCTCATTAATTTCATAAATACAATTGTTCTTAATTTAGAAAATATACGAAGTAAACATAAATTTCAAGAAATAAGTTTTTATTTCTTCATGAAAAAATAAATAACTTACTTTGCTGTTGCTGTATTATATAACTATTACTGTATTTTATAAGAAAAATATTTCTCATAAAATTTTTTTATCAGCTTCTTTTTTGCAACTTAATGCAAAGTAAATAACTGAAGAACTGAAACTAATTGAAAGTTTTTAATGAAGGATTAAATAACTTAAAAAACAATACTGAAAAATTGGTAAGCTCGATAGAAAACTGAAAGTCTTTTAACAAATATTATTTAAAAACAAATAATAAATTCAGTTTTTAGAAGAAAAAATATATTTGTTTTTTGAAAAAAACAACAACATTTAAATAAATAAATAAACAACAAAAAACAAACAAAGGTTTTTTTTTTGCATAAAACATGAAAATCATATTTTTCGTTAACTAACTGCGAAGATTTGATTTAAACTAACTAACTGCGAAGATGTTATTTAAAAAATAGATACAAACCTTTATATAAAAAGCTTCCAATCTTTTGAATCATTAGTAAAAAAAAAAAATTAATTCTAAAAAACAAAGCAGAAATTGAAGTCTTTAACATAGATTTTTAAATTAATAAAGAGCATTTCTACATAAAATTTAAACGATTCAAATGATAATTTAAGATAAACAACAGTTACTTATATGTAGGGTTCGGCAAGTTACTTACCGGTAATGTTACTGACCGGTAAGTTACCGGTAATCTACCGGTAGCTCAATTCTAGTTACCGGTTACTTTCATACGGATCAACGCAAACGCGTTTAAATATTAAAAATCTATTTAATTGGATGTTCTTAAAATCGCATGTTTTTATACTTTATATCTTTGTTACAATGTTTTATTATAAACAATTAATATAAATGATTTATATCAAAAGTAAGTGTTTTAGTTTACAACTGAATGTATAAGGTACTTTAAATTAAAGTTTAGTTTATAGCACCTCAGAATGCTCAGCAGTTTAACATTTTTATATACATTTAGTTTTTAAGTAAAAATTCAACAATTTTACAAAAAAGTTTAAGTAAAATATTAAGTCTTTTATAGCTAAATAATTATTATATAACAACAAATTTTGTTATTATATAAACGCAAACGGTTTAAATGAAATTTGCGCGAGTGTATTGATAATAATTATAAATTCTCACATTCTATCAATAATATTTTTTTTTAAGTTACTTTTTTAAATCAAAATTACCCAATGTTACCATAAGTTACACTCAAGTTACTTTAAGTTAAACTCAAGTTACCTCAAGTTACCCTCAAGTTACCGCAGTTACCGGTAACTAAAAGTAACTGTTTTGCAAGTTACCGAAATCGTCGAACCCTACTTATATGTTGCGTAAGATACTTATAAGTTTGTTGTAATTTATGTAAAAGATTTCCAATAAAATGATCGCATAAGGTTAAAAATAAAAACAAATACAATTTTTTTCATATTTAATCTTTACTTGAATCTCTATAACTTTAACAACGTTAATAATATAATTACGTGTAATTAACTACTTAATTGACATTAATTTATAAGTATTCAAAGTATTTTAAACCATCTTGATACTATACACGTTTTTTTTATTTATAAGAAACCAAGCAAACGGGATAGCACTAGAAAGTTTCTTATTTTGAGGGTACTTTTTTTCTAAATATAGTACTAAAAATTTCTTGAAATTTTTTTAAATTTCAAGGTTTCAATAGTTATCGAATAGAATTCCATCCATTCATCGCGCGTGGAAATTAAATATTCTTTTAAACTGCAGTTCATTGTAGAGAATGATAACCACGCAATGTCGATATGTATTATTTAGGTGAAAAATACGTAAATATTTATCGAAATCTTAAATAAATTTCTTATTGAAAAGTAATTTAGTACTAAAAGTTTCCTAAGATTTTGAGGATCCTAATACTTGTTTCTTTTAAAAAAAAACAAAAAAAAAAAAACCAACGTGTAATATAAATAAAAAAATATATTTGCAATTTGCAATTTATAACAAAATGGAAAGTACATACTCCTCAGCAATTCTGCGACTAAAAAGACAACACACTCTATAAACTAAACAAATACATAACATTATAATATAATAACATAAAAGTTAAAACATACTTTCATCATCAATAACACAACTCTTTTTTAAATTGATATAAGAAATCTATAACAAAAACAAACAAAGCTATAGTTTATTGTGTATTTGTGTAGGGAAGTTTTAGCTTTTCTATATACGCTAACAGAAAAGCTAAAACAAGCAAAATATAAACGACTTAGAAGATTAAACATGTTGCACATTTGAAGTAGATGTATAAAGGTATGAATGGCGTACAAAAAAAGAATACATTAAAAAAAACGCGCTTTTTTTTTTGGTTCGAAAAATGTCTATTTTGCAGAATTTTAGAACATAACAGAACAATTAAATGCTTATGAAGACTTTTTTTTTCTATTTTTTTATTAGTTAATTTTTTATTAAAGTAAAATACTTTTTTTATTTAAGTAAAGGTTTTTTTAATAACAAACCCTGCAAATAGGCTAGTACGAGAAGTTTTATATTTTAAAGTGAGTTGTTTTCCCAAATTTTTTTTAGGATTATTAAAAGAAAGAGCAAATAAAATACGTTTGAGAATGGAAAGCCAGGACGCGGCTTTTTTAAACTTTTAGAGGGCCCATTACAAAATTTAAGTACTTTTTTTTCAAGCAATATCTAATAACCGAAGGTTTTTTGAAAATTCTACAGGTGCCCCAAGTGCCGTGACAGATATTTTAAAATAAAGCTTATGTTTAAGTTTAGCTTGTTAAGTTTTATCCGAACCAAAGGAATTCATTTAAAATAGCGTCTCTTTTTAAAATCCATTTTTTTTGAACACAAGTATTTCGCGATGAGCGTGAGCTACGTTCCTAAAGTAGCGTCTTCTAACTTAATTAAAGTTGCACATGTTACTTTTATTGCGCTAATATTTTTTTTTGAAGTTGTAAATAATAGGCGCTATCCATTAAGGACGTCAAGTAAAAGAGGAAGAAATTGATAAAAAGGGATAAAGGAGAGATGGGAATAGGACAACAATTTATAGAATTTTATTTATTTTCTATTTAAACTTCAATATTATTTTTGCCTATAACTTCCAAAGATGGATAAAAAATAGTATTTCAAATTCGCTCTAGTGCCGGATAATGGGAGGGTCTAGGATGATAAAAGGCTATAGCCCCGGCCCCCGAAAAATTTAAAGGATTTTTTTTTTAAAGTTACATTCAAAGCCTTTCTTTGATGAAATGAAAATACTTAATGTCTACAAACTTAATGTTTTCAATGTTTTATGTTTTACTTATATGTGGAAAAACAAATTATCCCTACCTGTTTTTAACGACCTTTTTACGTTAAAACTTACTAATAAGTACTCACTAAGAAATAAAGATTTGCTAAATGAACCATTTTGTAGAACAAATTTTAATAAATTCTGTATTAATTATAGAGCACCTTACCTTTGGAATAAAATAGTTCTGCCTAATTTTGATCCTTTTATCCGTTTTTCTGTTTTTAAAAATGAATTAAAAAAATTCATTCTTGCTATGGATGACATTTTAAGTTACTATTAGCTTGAAGTATAAACTTGATTTCTGAGATTTATAATAATATTTATATTAATAAATTTATTTTCTTTAATTTATATCAGATCTATAAAATTTATTATTATGGATTTTTATAACAAATTTGTGAGAATTATTATTACAGATACGTGATTAATATTATAAATTTATTATTATATATTTATTATTACGGCCGTTTTTGGATTTATATTTTCAGTTTTATGGTATGATAAAATTGTAAAGGTTCTGATGATAAGATCAGTAGATCTTCTTCCAGAAGCCTTGTTTTCTTTGTTCTTGTAAAATATAGTATTTATTTTACGGCAAATGTAAACAGAAAAAAAAAAAAAAAAAAAAAAAAAAAAGTTACATTTTAGGTGCTTGCACATAGAAAAGGCCTCTAAAAGCAAAAATAGTCCTGGGCCCCAAGAAGTCTTTATCCGTCACTGATTCGTTCATAAAGTTTTAAAAAGATGCGCGTCCGATAAAGAATACAGCCGATTGTCATTTACTATTTAAGAGCCATTATCTGAGAAAGATAAATAAGCAAAGTCTGGAAGTGATGTCTTCAAAATCTCTTCATTTTCAAATATTTCATAGAAAACAATGAAACTAGTCTGTCGTTAAGTTTTCTTTTTGAAAACTCCCATTAATTGCAGAGATATCGGGTCCCGAAATTTGGTCCATTTTGTAAAAAAATTTGTGCATGAATTGCAATTACTATTTTAAAAGGTTAGCAACATGAATTTGAGAGACACATTTCTTTTTTTTTCTTTCTACTACTCTGGGTACATTTCTCCACTAAAAAGAAAAATTCAAAATGGTTACACTTTTTATTGTCTACAAATCACGATTTAAAACCGCTAATTTTAAAATTTTACCCATACTTTGAGCATTTATAGCTCCTAAGGCCATTACTTGCATATAATTTTCTTAGTTGTTTTTGGAAAACAACCCCAGGGTGTGTAGGGTGTGCCGATTTTCACTTTTTTTTTTTAATTTTAGAAACGGCTTACTTTTGGTGAAGAATTTTACGGGGATTCGGAATCTAAACAAAAAAATAAAAAAATTATTTTTTGCTAGGCGGGTTTTAAACGGAAAAATGACTAAAATATGATTAATTAAAGGGGAGAAAGTATAATTTAAAAATATACATAACTTTTTAATAATTTTGAAAAATTTAATGATTTTTATGTTAAATTTGAAGAAAATTATATATTTGGTTCAAAAAGTAATAAAAATAAACTCATAAATTGAGTTTTTGTGAAGGGTGTTTTTACAAAAATTAGTCAATTTTTGGTATATTTTAGTCAGCGAATGTGACGGTAGAGTGCGTCTTTTTTTCCTGTTTTTATCAAATTTTAAAAATAAGTCGAATTCATTATTGTAAAGAATTTTTTAGGAAATCCGAATAAACAAAAAAAAAAAAAAAAAAAAGTTTAAAAAAATGTCATACTTTTGAACGGAAAAATGACTAAATTATGACTAATTAAAGAGAAACAATTATAAATAAAAAATAAATAAATTTTGTAATAATTTTGATGAACGCAATATGAACTACGTTGAAATTTATAAAAATTTCATATTTGATTAAAAAGACATTAAAGTAATAACATAAAGTGGGTTTTTGTCAACATTATATTTAGAAAAATTAGGCGATTTTTTCATATTATAATTTCATATATAATTATTTAACTAATATAATTAAATAATATTTCATATATAATTATTTAACTGGATATATTTTTACTGCATTGTTAAACGGTTCTCAGTGACAGGATTTTACGAGGTAAATTAGGTCTTTTATAGGCTGTAAAATGTTGCTAATAAGTGTTAACATTTTATCTTATTCTAAGATTTAAGTAAGAGTAAAATGATGAACCAAAATTTATACTTTTTTCAAATAGCATAACTTTTTAACAGCCGCTGTTGAACAGTGGTTAGAGCGCATGCCCCAGATGTCAGAGATCCAGGGGTTTAATACGACCTCTGAGCATTGAGAGGAAGCATGAATATTAAGTTAAATGTTTTTCCAAGGTTGCCGTGAAAATACCGTTAGGAATTCTAGGAGCTTATCATAGGCAAATTTTAATAGAGCCGCTCTAAAGATTGGTGTGTGCATTACCATCTGTAAAGTTTTTGTCAAAGTTAAATGCAAAGTAACAAAAAAACAACTTTTTCTATGAAAATTGATTAAAAACATTGGATTGATATCAGGTATTTTTATCTAGCTTAATTTTCTTTGTGGAAACCAAAGGCAGATTTTTTAGGTCCTAATAATATGAACTGACAAGTTCAAATCTTTAATTTGAATAGAGTTCCTATTTAAAGATTTCTTAAGATAATCATGTTTTTGAAATTTATCGTATTAGATACCTCACTATGACATCAGATTGCGAAAAACAGGTGCAGGTGGGGTTTTGGTTTTAGGTTTCAATAAATAAAAAGTGATATATAATGATGTGATATATAGTGATGAGGGATGGTAGTAGAGACTTTTAGATTAAAAATAGTGGTTCTGCACTAATTACTTTTCACCTGACTAATTTTTTAATTTTAAGTTCTCTATTGATTAGACTATTTTTAAAAGTCCTTAAATAACCTAAAAAGCATTCCGAATTCGACTTTTCTCTTAGATTTCTCGTCAATTTCTCTTTTATCTTACTCGAAAATTTTATTAAAGTGAATGATATACTAATTCAAAATAATCTACATGCAAATAATTATTTGATGTTTTGAAATCTTGGAACAAGATTTCAAAACATCAAATAAATGACTAATGAAATGATTTTTTTTTTCTTTAGATAGTGCAACATAGATTGTCTGATCTGCAGCCTAAAATTATTTATATCTCTTATTTTAAATAATTTGTTAAAAAAATGAGTTTTTTTTCATTCAAAATTTCCGACTTGGAAAAAAGAGTACAACATTTGGAGGTCTCTAATTTGCCATTAAATTTCTCGGAATTAATCGGTGAAGGCAGTGCTGCCAAAGTTTACAAATCATCGATTAAAGGAGAGCCATTAGCGCTAAAAGTGTTCAATACCCAGTTTGGAAAAAAACGAATTTTAACAGTATGCAATGAACTAAGGCAACTGGAACATATAAATATTGTTAACTTCTTGGGATATAGTCTTAGACCGACAGCTCTATGTTTTGAATTATGCAGTGTGAAAGTCCACGACACCGTTGCTTATTCCTTAAAAGAGCTTGTTACTATTTATAACGATAACGATTACTTCAATTTAGAAGAAAGAACTTCGTATATAATTCAAGCGTTTAAGGGTATAATTTATCTCCATGAAAAAAACATCATTCATAGAGATATTAAACCAAGTAATATGTTAGTTAGTGGGTCTATGGAAAATCTGATAATAAAAATATCAGATTTTGGTGATATGACCACTATAAAAAATACAATCACTTGCACTAATAACAACTCTTTAAAAGGATTAACACTTTGCTATGTGGCACCAGAACTTTTAGATCAAAATCCAAAACTTTCAGTGTGTACTGACATTTACGCATTATCTATTTCAAGTTTTGAAATTCTTTCCAACTTATGTTCACCATGGGAAAATAATCTTCCAATTATCAACGATGTTTTTCTTCTCCAGGCACTCAAAAACAATATAAGACCTGATGCTGATTTACTCAACGTTTTGTACAAAGAAAATATCCAAGAAATACAAATAATAATAAACGCAATACAGCTGGGCTGGAAATCAATGCCAGAGGAACGAATATCCATGAAAAATGTAAATGCTTATTTTTAATTTGTTACTGTTAAATATTTTTATCTGTTAAGAGTCCCATATACTTTCTATAAACATCATTTCCTACCAGAGTTGTGCAAATATCTAAAAAAATAAAACAACTGTAAATAAGAATAAGACATTTTTTATAGAATATCAATAAAATTAATATTCTATAAAAAAGTATTAAAAAAATGAACTCTAGGGACGTAATTAGGGTTTTTGTATTTTGATTTCACAAGTACTTGATTACTTGATATTAGTGATGAAATTTTCAGGAAATTTTGCTCAAAATTTCCGAAATTATCAAAAAAAAAAAAAAAAAAAAAAAAAAAATTGATTTTACTAGGTACCACTACTTTACTCTGAGGTAATAAACAAGATTGCAAAAAATCATATACGCCATACGCATATGATTTTTTTATCTAATACTGTTTATTAAAGAGGCAGCGGCTTCATACAAATTAGAACTGGGGATTGGGGAGGGATTGTAACTTTTACTCAAAACTGGGGGAGGGGTCATGTTTATATAGGTAAAAGGAACGGCTGTATTTAGTAAGTGATAGCTTTATTATAGGGTAAAGACAGAGTTTAATGAAATGGTTTGATGAATTTTCTGATGACACTTTATTATTACACATTAATATTAACAAGTTTAACACGTCGCCTTTCATATCTTGGAAATACGCGCTTTCAAAGCGCTTCTTGGGGGAACTGGGGGAAGGGGGTTGCTTCATGAGGCTTGGTGATGATAGACGCTCCTGTACGTCATCATTTTTATATTTAGATAATTTTATTATATTTTATCCCAAAATACATAAGAATAAAAAATCACAAGAAAAGTTTTAAGAATATTTGATCAAAATTTCCAAAAATATTCACACACAAAAAAAAAAAATTCAACTCTTTGAATTTTTTGAATTATTTGAAAATTTCCAAAATTTACGGAAATTTTCCAGAAAATTTCCTGACTTGAAAATTCCTAGGAAATTTTTATAACTACTTGATATATGTGAATCCACAAAAATTTGGAATTAAAAATTGGAAATCTAAAGTTCCTAGCAATAATATATTTATATAACTAATATATGGTATCTGCAATACAAAAATTTATTTTTAATATTTTAGCTATTAAAAGAGTTTCAATCAACAAATGGAAGAAAAAAATTAGTTAGTGTAGCTTTTGCTAAATTCCTTAATTAATAATAAATCAAACAATTTAAAAAATATATATATTGAATTAAAATTTTTCAGTTTGATCCTGATGAAGATATCGAAGATGACGTATCTTATGAAAAAGTAACTAAAGATTTTTTAGAGAAAAATGAGGCAAATGATAGTCTTTCATATCAAAATGAGAATAATAATAACAAAGAGGTTCCTCCATCTCCGCCTACAATAATACTTGAACCAAAAGAAACTTTTCAAGGTGTTTATTTTAATTATAATATAAAAATATTTTCAATTATAAAACTAGATTTAATAACATTAATAAGTTTTGTTTAGATTTTAATTTTCAACAAACAGATGAATTAAGTAAAGCTTTGTTAGATATAGAAGACAGCGTAAAGATATCTTTAACAGTAACAAATTCCACAGATAAACGAGAACATGACAGAGTAAAAAATATTATTATTAATTATCATTATTACTATTATGTTAAAGTCTTAATTACAACAAAAAGTCTTTCACAAATATACTTTTTAATTTTTAAAACTATCATTAGGGATGCCATTTGGGGAGGTGTTTGTTTAAGGAAGGACCCCTCAATTCAATGAAATCACAATATATATATATATATATATATATATATATATATATATATATATATATATATATATATATATATATATATATATATATATCAACCCTCGGATTTAGGGTCGGCATTCGGCAATGCCGACCTAAACGTGTTTGCGATCGGCAAACAAAATTCGGTTTTGCCGACCTCGTTTCGATGTTTGGTAAGATTTTTGTATTTGCCGACCTGATGCCGACCTCTAAAAGATTGAGGTCGGCAAATTATTGCCGACCTCTATTTTTCTTATTCCGAGGGTTGTATATATATTTTACTTTGGAGGAAAAATACAACATAGAAAACCCCTGATTTTTTTGAATTAGTAATCCTTGATGTTGATGAAGACAAATTGAAATTTTCGTACAACATATAATACAATAAAATATTTGTACCTTTGTTTCCTCAATAGACTCAATGAGATCATGAAACAAATCACCTAAAACGGTTGTACAATATAAATTTGTTATAGTTCTCTTCAAAATAAAAATTTGAAACTTGAAAATTGATTTGAATTTGAAATCAATTAAGTTTGTGAATATTTCGTAAAGTTAATCTTATTTAATTATTCTTACTAACTAATTGTATAAAATTCCCAAAATCTTGGCTCTTCAAGCAACTTAAAACATTGAATTTCAATATTGAGTTTCAATAGCTTGTAGCCTTGTTGGAAGTACAGATGCTAAAAAAAATAAAAAATCCTTTTAAAAAACAAAATTGATTAAAAACATAATATAATATATAGACAACAATTTAAATAATTTATTTCAGAGAACCGTTAAGAGCACTTTTTTAAAAAGTTTTTAAAATTTATTTTGCTTAAATAAAAAAAAATTAACCAAATTGTTTTTTGGAAGCAGTTTAATTTTTTCATAAAGAACTCTTAACAGGTTTCTGAAATTATAAATTACGATAAGAATAATAGTTTTAAAAAACACTATTACAGAAAAGACGTATTTCTCCAATTGAAACAGCAAAACACTATATAGAAATGCAAAAAGACCCAGACACTTTATACAAAAAAGAAGTAGATAAAACAAAAGGTAAATAAATTATTTTTTTATTATTATTGTGACTCAATTGATCATAAACTTTTTTGACGATTTTCCAATTTTTTTTCTGGGAGATTTAAACCAATTTTTACTATGAATATATGATTTTATACATATCATTTGCTTAGTTCGAACCATTATTAGGAATTATTATTTTGATTGTGTCTTTAAATATATTTAGCATAAATTAACATTGAAAATAGGTTTAACAACAACGAGATATTCGCCATAAAAACAAGAAAGAAATATAAATATATAATAATGATAGTGCACTTATAGCTGGGATTGTTGTTTTCTAATAATGGTGTCCCATTAAAACTTACAATCATTTTCTGTAAAATATCTTATGATTTGGAACGAACTGTTTAAGCTTACTTTATGTCATTTTAAAATACAATTATATTAAAAACATTCAAAAAAAGGTATAACAATGTAACAATTTTAAAAACCAATTAAATCAACATTACCTATATAGGTTTTGGCGTCTTTTCTTTTGAAAAAATTCAAAAAGGTCAATTCATTGCCCAATACAGAGGAGACTTAGTGCCAAAAAAAGAAATGAACAACAAAATACTATATTATGAAAAAACTAATGCTGGTAGTTATGTTTATGACTTTCTACACAATAATATTGAGTACAGGTAACTTTAATTTTTACCAAACTAACTTTACTGTTTTACTAAAAAAAATTGATGTTTAATGTTTTATTGATTTTTTTTAGTATTGATGCCACATTTCATTTTAATTATATTGGCCGTTATTTCAATGATTCAAAATATTATCCAAATGCTATAATGAAAAAAGTTGTATTGAATAACACTCCATCTTTATGCTTGTTTGCATTAAAGGATATAGAGCCAAATGAAGAAATACTATACTTCTATGGTGTTGACAATTTAATTTGGCATACTGAAGTAAATTTTTTTACATCAAATTTTAAAAACATATTAAATTATTTATTAACTTATACTTAAATCCTTACAGGAATTAAAAAGGAAAAATCAAAAAAGAAACAAATCAAAGGTAAATCACTGATATTTATAACTAAAAAATATATTTATATATATGTAAATATAAACTGTCTGTTAAAAAAGAAAGTGTAACACTATCAATGCAAATTTTGTGCTAGAAATGTAATACTTCTGGTTAATTTTGTGATACTGATTCGGAAAACCATGTTGATTTTAATTAGATGTCCAGGGTTTATTTTTCTATGCAATGCTATGCATGAATTAAACTAAACTTATATTTTTAACTGTCAATGACAAACAAACCAGTGGTTTAGCAGTAGTGTACCTTCATGGTCGTTCAGTGGCACAAGACAACTTTTTTGAATCCCAAGTTTGTAAATATGTAAAGAATCTAAAGTTATTAAACATGATCTTCTTAATAGAGGGTTCCCACAGTCCTGGAAAGTCCTTGAAAGTCCTGGAATTTGACTAGTGTTCTGGAAAGCCTTAGAAATTTTCATTTTTTTATCATAAAATCCTGAAAAAGTCCTGGAATTTATAAAATATATTCTTAAAAAAAAATTTGTCTTATTTTTTAGTAACATTGGTTTTATGGTAAAAATTTTATACTAGGAGACTTTTTATACTAGAATTTTATACTAGGAGAAATTTTATACTAGGAGGATGAGTTTTATTTTTGCCTAATTTCGAATAAAAATTATTTAATTTTAATTTTTTTCAACTAAAATTGCTGAACTTAAGTTAAATTGTATTTGTTGTTTAAATCCTGGAACGTCCTTGAATTTTTTGTCAAACATCCTGGAAAAATGGGAAAATTGTCCTGGAAAGTCCTGGAATTTTGATTTTTTTTTCCTTTGGGAACCCTGTAATATCAATGAAACATCCTATGAAAATCCTTTTCATAGGGGAACAGTAGATGCAAGTAGGATTCACACACATTTTTTTCATAAAACAATTCATTGATATTATTGAGTCCCAAATTTACATTATCATGTTATCTTTAACAATAAATAAAAAAATGCTTATTTATATATTATATTAAGGCTTGTTCTCCTACAATAAAAAACATTGCATCGTATGAAGCTGCAGAAGGTATTCTTTTTTTTTTTTTAAAAAAAGAAAGCTTTATAGAAAAAAAGATTCCAAAATCATTCATTTTCTATACCATGGGAAAATATTGTGTTCTGAAATTGTTTTATAAATTTAGACATTGATTTTGGTGTGGAATGCACAATATCTAACTCGCCATTTCACAATTCAAGTTTAGAGGTTTGCATAAACTATGATTGAAATAAGAAAATAGTGTACTATTTTTTTTTTACAGATTTAGAATTTTAAAATGCATATATATATATATATATATATATATATATATATATATATATTAGGGTGGTCCATAAAACAACTTTTTTGAGAAAAACCTGCTGACACCCCCTAAATGTGTTTTATCTAATGCAAAAACACTAGGTTTAAAATTTTTTTGAACAAAAATTATTTTTAGGGGTAGCTCAAGGCCCTCAAAAATTTGACGGGTCCCTAATATTTTGAAAAAAAAACTTTTTCTAAAGTATGTCAACCTGGTACTCAAAATAAGCAAAATTATATAAAAAATTTAAAAATGATAATAATTTTTTATAAAAATAATTTTTTTAGGTATAAATGCATAAAAACTATTGTTTTTAAGCTGAAAATAAAAAAAGTCAATATTTTCAGGTTTTTTGAGAATAATTTTTTTTAGGCATGTTTTTTATGTAAAATGATTATTATTTTTGAAGTTTTTATACAATATCGCTTCTTTTGAGTACCAGGTTGACATACTTTAGAAAAAGTTTTTTTTTCAAAATATTAGGGACCCGTCAAATTTTTGAGGGCCTTGAGCTACCCCTAAAAATAATTTTTGTTCAAAAAAATTTTAAACCTAGTGTTTTTGCATTAGATAAAACACATTTAGGGGGTGTCAGCAGGTTTTTCTCAAAAAAGTTGTTTTTTGGACACCCCTAATATATATATATATATATATATATATATATATATATATATATATATATATATATATATATATATACACACACACACACACGTTGTAAAACTTCAACTCTTTCGTAATGGCATTTATATGAAGAACTATCCAAATCACACAAGAGCGGAAAAATATTCTTGGCTTTTATTACAAAGTTTACTCATGTCTCTTCTTTGTGAATAAAAATATCATCTGATATGTAAATTTTGATATACATTGAATTAAGAGTTAGAGAACGATAAACAGTTTAATAGATAAATAGTTTATGAAAATACATTGTTCTAAATTAACTGTCTTACAACAGCCAGCAATAAAAAAAATCCTAATCGGACTGTTAGGTCGCAAAAAGCTCTTGTAAAAAGCTGTTTAGAGGAGTCATGTTCACTTTAGGAGAGAAGCTCTCCATTTATGCACTCATGCATTCCTGCCAAGGCCTGTTAATATGTATACATTTTTGCAATAAATAACTATAAAAATGTTATAAACTTATATTTTAAACTTAACTAATAATAAATTAAACAAATAAACTAATTTTTTTTTGTTTTAATAAAATATTATTTATAAATAAACATAAACATTTAGGTTCGAGTTTGTTCTTCTATAACAAAGGAAACTGAATTAGATGTCAAAGAACTTCTAGGTATTGTTTAAAAATAAATAAAATCGAATGCTTGCAATGATTTGATATCATTAAAAGTACCTTTTTAAAAAGATTTTGCTGAAACTAGTTTTATAGTTTAATTTGATAATTTCACCAAGCGTTTCAAAACTAATTGTTATTTTGTTCAGAAAAAATATATATTCATTACTTCTATGGAGTAAATTTATTTTGAAAAGAATTTTAATTTTAATTTTATATTGGTCATTTTATATGTTTGACTTTGCAGAAAACAGTGAAAATCTTCTTTCTTCTATGTATATTAAACCTATTAGTATGACTTTTATAGATTCAGATTATGAAGGAAAAAAAATTACCATAGCCAATCCACCAAGTCCTGAGGTATGTTTTAACTTAATAAATTGGAAAATATTAAAATGCAGAGTTAAATATAATAAAGAAAGGAATTCTAACAAATTTAAAATTTTAAAATCACTCACCTTATTAAAACAGTAAGTAAAAATTGTAATAGATATTTTGAAGTTGTTGTGACGTACCGTAAGCATTTTAAAAAGAAAATAATCAAGCATGCGATTGGAAAACCCTATTTTAAAAACAGCATAAGCTAAAAAGAAAACAAGAATAAAGCAGCAAAAATTCAAATGCAAGTCCATAGAATGTTAACTCAAGATTTAAAAATTGTTTTTTAAGTACTCAGATGGCACCATTGATCACCATTGAAAAAGACTTTATCATATGTTTCATATTGTGTTATACATATCTTTTCATCATAGTTAATACATATTTATATTTTATATTAAGGCTTATTCTCCTACAATAAAAAACATTGCATCAGATAGTAAAGCTGTAGAAGGTATACTTTTTTTAAAAAAAAACTTTTAAAGAAAACATGATAACAAGATCATCCATTTACTATATAATAGAAAAATATTGTATTTCAAATTTTTTTTATAGATTTAAACATTGATTTTGGTGTGGAAAATGCAATATCTAACTCGCCATTTGACAATTCAAGTTTAGAGGTTTGTGTTTAATATGATTGAAATATAAAAATAGTGTAATATTTTGAAATTTTTTTCAAAACTAAGATGGTTTTTAAGTCTATAAGTTATTATTAGGCGCAATCTACAGACTTGATAAGTTATTCAAGTGCGATTAATTAATAAGAATATTTGTTCACGACATAATTGAAATCTATTGAAATAAAATCTACAGATTTTTTTTTTACTTCCTACTTATAAAATAAAATTGTTCACTTATTTTATTTTATAGTTTTTACATTAAAAAAACAACAACCTAACAAAGATAACTTAACTCATCTTAAAAAACTGAAAATAAGTCTTTTTTAAAAAGACATTAAATTATTACCTTTTTATATTATTATACAGCCAGGTTTTTATTGTAGATATTAAAACGTTGTAATAATTTATATTTTATAATTACAAGTCAAGTCAGGTTATTTTTACATCAAGTCAAATTATTCTGCTACTGGTAAAATGTAATCCAGTACAACCTGCTTCATGTTAGCATCAGGAAAGTGTAAAACATTTCTTTAACTCTTTTATAATGGTATTTATATGTCATTAATGAAGAACCATCCAAACCACAAAAATCAGGAAAAATTGATGTGAAACTTACAAATAAAAGTAATAATAATAATTTTAATATTTAATTATTTTTTAAATTGATTATATATATATTCTATTAAAATTTTTCAAAACACATTGGCTTTAAAAACTCCTTTTAAATTTAAGTTAAAATATTAATTGCTCAACAGTTGAAACCAATGACTTAAAAGTGAAACATGGCAAAAAAATATTTTACATAACTTAAAGTTTTAAATAGTGTGTTAATTAAAGTCATCGTTGTTTATAAAATTAATAATAGAAAAATACGATTTACTGATAGTAGGTTAAAAAAAAAAAAAAAAAAAAAAAAAAAAAAAAATTAAATGAATAAACTTGTATGTTAATTAAACATAGAATAGATAGCTAGAATAAATTATCAAGTCTGAAGATTGCGTCTGTCAGAACTCAAATTTGTTTGATCGTTGGCTTTTTGTGTGGAAAAAACAACTCTTTCCCCTCAGGGAAACATGTTGCTAACATTTAAAAAAAAGTTAAACAAAAAAAAATCACAATAAGTAATTTAAGTATTTAAAAAAATTGCTTCAAACAATAAAAATTAAATACCAGTCCTAGTGAGCGCTTAAAAGACATGGTTAATTACACAAAAAATAATATACAAAATTTAAGAAAACTCAAAGAAAGAAAAGTAATTTCTTTCAATAACGTTGTTAAAAAAGTGTAAACATCTGTTATAAGTTTCAACTCCATGATTACATAGCATTTAAATAATCAGGTGTTTTAAATTTACAAATAAATAGTTCTAAAGTGAAATATTTCATTTTTAAAAATTATTCAATTTAGCAAGCAATATTTATTTAATACTTAAAAAAACCCATCGCCTTTTTTTTTAATTAGAAAATTTCAAGATTTAAACTTCTTTCAGACAGTTGCAATTGGTGACTGCTTAAATCAACCTCTGTTGAAAATATATTAATATATCACACTATATTCATTTAAATAAAATAAATAAACTTAGGCTTATGTTTATCTAGGTACATGCTTGTTCTTCTATAGAAAAAGACACAGATTTGGACGAAGAGGAAACAAATTCAAAAGGTATTGCTTGAATATAATTAAAAAAACCTAACCATTTAGATTAAAATAACGAATAACAATTTTTTATATAGAATAGATATCTGAACTTTTTAAAATTTTGAAATCCTTATATAATTAGGCTTTTTTGGATTAAAATTTTTTTATTTTTTCTTGGTGCAAAAAATTGTATAATTTTAAAATAAATTTATAATTAATAAATTTAAAAATAAGTATAATTTGACACCATGTCGATCATACCCTGATAGTATTTTTAAAAAGCTTTTAATTTAGATTTTGATAAGAAGGAATTTCACCCAGAGAAATTAGTTCATTTATCAAAAATGAGTAACACCAAGGTTTTATTATATTATAAATTTTATAATGATTTATAAATAAAAATTTTAATTTGAAAGTTGAAAGATAATGTGACATGTGTTGTGTTCATATATAACGTAAAAACAAAAATTTTGAACCATATATTTTTGTTTAATCTTAAATAATAAAACTTATTTGTTATTAATTGACAGTTTACCAAAATCATTCGAACCTTATTTCAAAGCTAACTACCAAGTTGTACTCCAAATAAAATTAATAATGAGAAACCAAAAGAAATTAATATAATTAAAGCAACTTAAACAGTAATAATAATGAAAAACTAGTGTTAATATAATTAAAACAACTTAATATAATTAAAGCAACTTAAACACTAATGATAATGAAAAACTAGTGTTAATATAATTAAAGCAACTTAAACACTAAATGGTAATGAAAAACTAGTGAGCCAGTGTTGTTGGGACCAAGAAAAAACTTTCAAAAAGTTTCAGAGCTTTAACTAGTTTGTGAAGTAATGAAATATTCCGCTACAAAAAAGTGGGTAATGGGTCTCTTTATCCATATATGGAAATCAATGTAAATGCAAATCAAAATCCTTATGTTTTCTAAAAGATCAATAAATCAAGGTCATATAGGTTTTTTGAGCATTAAAATTAGGTATATAAAAAATTGCCTGAATTTATTTAAATTGATAAATAAAGGCACTTAAAAATAATTTTTTACATTTCTGGTCATTTCATTGGATTTATCACTCCTAAAAAAACCCAGTTAAAAATCTTTAAGTAAAAAGATCAAATATTATTAATGTCTCTGAATTAATGTTGTAATTATGAGAGGACAAGAAGGGCCCAGTCAATATCTACTAAAAATAAAATGATCATATTTCCTGATCTTCTTTTAGCTAGAGGCTAGAACTATCAAGGAATTCTTATTTTACTGAGTAGTCTTTTGACACAGAATTACTCCACAACTGTCTATATAAAATTTAAATAAAAAGTCAAAAAAAATAAATAAATTTCTATTTATCTAATTATTTTATTTATTGCAAATTGCTTTAGGTCAAGTCAATGAAAAAAAAACCAGGCAGAATTTGTATATTTTGCAACAAAATTCAATCGAGATTAACAAGACATATAACTTTAAAACATAAAGATATAGAAACTGTTAAATCAGCTTTGAATCTTACAGACAGAGAAAAACTAAAAATGTTTGATAAATTTAAAAAAGAAGGAATAAAAAAATATAACATTGATCAAACAAAAGAACTAAATCCTAACTTTCAAAGGTAATAATTTTTTATTTCATAGAAAATTGAAAAAAATTCTTTTCTCAATTAAAAACATTCTTATATATTTTTAAGTTTGTTTTGTTTTTTATTAATACTCTTATGAAATCTTTCATTGAAATATATATATATATATATATATATATATATATATATATATATATATATATATATATATATATATATAATCTTTCATCATAACTTATAATAAATCTGTTTAGGCGGTTCTCAATGACAAGATCTTATGATCTTCTGCGAGTATCTGCTTTCTTATTGAAACAAAATTTGTAACTCTTACATTATTTGAATAAAAAAAAAAATATTGTTTTTTTTTTAATTTTTTGCATTTTTGCATCTCCTTTATTTTTAGTTACTAAATAGACAAAATTTTAACATGTTATAATATCTTTTGCTAATTAATCAATTTAGAGAGAGAAAGGCAAAAAAGACTTGTAAAGACACAGCAGAAAATCTTGAGATGTGTGGACATTGCAATGGCTTTTTTTCGAAACGCTTTTTAAGTAGACATAGCAAAAATTGTGACCTAAATAATTTAAAATCAACCATTCATATTCCACTTAGCTTGATAAAAGACAATTTTCTTTCATCATTTCCAAACGAATTTGTTACAAATGTTCTTGGAAATATGAGAAATGATGATGTTGGTAAAATTTGCAAACAGGACGATATCATTTTAACTGTTGGTCTTCGTTTGTATGACAAAATGAAAAGAAAATGCGATAAAGCTTCAGAAGTTCTTAAATCTGTCCGAAACGACATGAGAAGACTTGGAAATCTTTATTCGATTTTCAGAAGGAATGAAAAAGTCCATAAAAAATATAGTAACTCTATGGACATGTTTAATCGAATTAATTTTGATGTTTTAAGAAATGCGATTGATGAATATACTATATCAGAAAACTGTTTAAAATCAGGATTGAAAATTGTTCTCTCCTCATTAATAAAAAAAGCAGCAAAGATTATAAAGGGAACAATACTTACACAAAATGATAAAAATCTAACCTATGAGGAAAATAATAAATTAGTTTTAGAAAAAGTGCAAGATATTGATTTGTTTGTATCTGTTTTTGAAACTTGGAAAGGGTATATATTTGGTGATGCTGAGTATGACATAAACAAAAAGCGTCACCAAAAACTTAGGAGACCAACAAATTTGCCAGAAGAAAAAGATGTCCAAGTTCTTCAAAATTATATTCTTCAGCGAATAGAAAGTATAATGAATGACAGGTTTATTTTTTGGGACAGCCATACATTTATCGAACTTCGCGACATGGTTTGCACTCGTCTTACTTTGCTAAATGCCAGACGTGGTGGGGAACCAGCTAGGTATATATATATATATATATATATATATATATATATATATATATATATATATATATATATATATATATATATATATTAATTATATAGATTATTGTTATTTAAAAAGATTATTATTAGGTTTGCCTTTAACGTATTACTATTATAAGTCTTGAATCAGGCTTGGCAAAGAATGCCTGAGAAAACAAGCCTTTTTATAACCATGCAAATAATATTTTGTTTTAAATATTTAACCAGGGTCTTTAAAATTTTAAAAATGCGCTAAAATAAAAAAAAGTTTCTTTTCAACAACTTTGACACCTTTATTTTTACTAACATTTTTATATTAGCAAAACGTTTTAATGATTTTAACTAATGATTTCAATTAAAGTAAATCTCATTTAAGAAAAATAAATTAAATTTTATAAGCGACAACTTTAAATAACGATTGTCTCTTTAATAAACTTTGTATAAGTATCATTAAAATTAATACACTTGAAGAGAAGAAAGATTTTGTTGAGAAGAAAAAAGAGAAAAACTTTTTTGAAAGCCGTTTGAATTAAATAACTTTGATCTTTAATAATGTTTTTATATTATTAAAAAACATTCAAATAAAGTAACAAATCACTGCTAATAATTTTTTTATATTTATATAAGTAAGTATTTTATATTATATATGTCTTTAAATAAGAAAATAATATCAATTTTTTTAAAAAAATGATTTAATTATTTTTTCTTTTTTTTTACATTACTGCAAAGAATTGTTAAGAATCTTTTTTTTATTTTTTAAATGTGCATAATATTTATTAAACAATTGATGTAAGTTGTTACTTTATTTAAAAGAGTTTTACATAATATTATACTATAAAAACATTAGTTAATAAAAACAATTCTTAGTTATTTATTCCAAACATAACTTAAATAATCTTATCCTTATAGTTTACAATTTATTTTAGTAAGTTTTAATTTTATTTTTTTGATTTTAGTTTTAGTTAAGTTTTTTTTATTTACTTTTGTTATTTTTTTTTTTTACAAAGATTTATTTGCTTTTTTTTGGATAAGTATTTTTTCAAGTTTCTTTATAATAAAGTTTAAAATTTTTAATTTCAATTCTAATTTTTGATTTAAACTTTTTCAGCGCATTTCTAAAATGTATACAAATTTTAAAACATCTGTATACAATTTTTAAATGTATATAAATTTTAAAACAATATATAACAACAGCCATGGTCAAGTTTTCAAAATTAAATAATATTTGTGTGGTTATATTATGTCACACCTGTGTGTGCAAGATGTGCGATTTATATAACCTGTGGTTATATAAATCGCACACCTTCCTGGCCAAGTCTATTGAATAAATTTTTTATTATGACTAAAATAAAAATAATTTCAGGGATTAAACATAATTTTGACTTGAAGAAATTTTTAAAGTATTTAAAACCTATTTTAAACTTATGTCAAAGAAAACCTTTGTAGGCTTCTTTAAAAAAAGATTTATAAATTTTCACAAATAAGATCACAGATAAAATCATTTTGTATTTTGCAAAAAAATATTTTTTTTGAAAAAGTTTTGAACAATTTTTATTTTGCTTCTTCCCTAACTTTTTTAGATTGAAATTATATTCAGAAGATAAACTTATTAATATAACGTTTAAGCCACTACTGTGCATATTTAAACTGATTGTAAATTGTATCAAGAAATCCCTAGTGATACTCATGAACTTCTTTACAAATAATAATTAAACAAAATTTCAAACACTATTCAATTCACATTTATATGGTTTTTTAATGAATTTAATATATAAGAATTCCCTGACATTTTTATAAAATTTGATAAGTACTCTAACTTTTTAGTTATATATAATGACAAAATTTAGAATTATATTTAGCACCCTTATATTTCTAGCAGAGTGTTAGCTAGCCCAATGGCACTGCATATAACGCCAAATTCCCAATGGGTTTAAAATTCCAAAAATTTAGTGATAAAAAAACCATATTGGTCAGAAACTGTCAAGGTTACTGACCACTATGAATAAATATTAATTTTCTTTTATAAGACAAAAATATTAATAAGGTTTATTACTTTTTTGGTACTTTAAAAATGGGTTAACTTCTAAAATTTTATTTAAAAAACATCGGCTTTAATTGACATTTGATTAAGATCATCCACTATAACACTTGATTACCAGGAATATAAAAATTCTTTCTTATTAAAATCTTTCAAGTAGTTTTATAGAGTATTTAAATGATGTTATACTTATAGTACATTAAAATAAAATTTTTTTTACGTGTTATATATAAATGTTTAAAGTGAAATTGCAATGTTTTTTCAAAAATAAATAACTTCAGAATAAAAATTCCTTTTTTTTTTTTGGGCAAACCAACTTAAAAAAGTTATTAAAAATAACTTTCATTTAATAAATATTTTTACATTATTTTAAAATATCAAAACATTTTTTGAGAGGAATCAGAAATAGTTTACTGAAACTGAAACAATATTACTAGGTTGCTGTTAAATGACTGGAAGGATGCCGAAGATGGTGCATGGATTAAACCACAACATATCAAAGAGCTAAATCAACTTGATAAAAAATTAGCCAACTCAATACAAGTTGCATATATGACTGGAAAGGTTGATAATTTGTATATTTAAGTTATATTATAAGTTCAGTTTAATAAGTTATGAGATATTAAATAAATAAAAAACATTTTAATAATATAAATATATTTATAAAATTTTTAATTTAATAAATTTAGAAACAAAACCCCTTAACAAAGGATCTAAAACAAATAATATAAAAATTATGTTTTTATGTTTTTCTATTAGTACTATTGCCAATAGTAGTTATAACTTCAAAGAATGTTAATATAATGTAAACAGTGACAGTGAAATTTTAAAACTTAAGTTAATAAAACCTAAAACCATGCAATAACGTTAAAACTAAGTTAACTAAATTAAAAAGTTCTTTTTTGTGTAATTTTTATTGAACTTTATTTTAATTTTTTTCTTGCCTTTTATTTATCTTATTCTTTAGGGAAACAACCATTTAGTACCAGTATTAATTCCATTAGATTCATTTGCAGTCCTTAGAAAATTAGCAGATTTAAAGATTAGGAAAGAAGCTGGTATTTTGGAAAATAATCCATATCTTTTCCCCAGCACAAAAAATAGTACCAATCATGTTTCAGGTTGGCATGCACTGCATGCCATATGCATGAAAATAAAAACAAGTTAATAAAACCAAATAAACTTACTGCAACATCTAATCGTCGCAGAGTAAGCACTCTATTTGCAATGTTGAATTTACCACCACAAGAAAGAGAGCTTTTTTACCAACATATGGGACATAGCCAAGCCATTAACCAAAATGTGTATCAAGCTCCACCAGCATTACTAGAAATACTCAAAGTTGGTAGACATTTAATCGATCTTGAAAATGGTAAGAACATTTTTCTTTTGGATACTGTTCTAAAAAAATAAAATTCTTAAAACAATGTTGCTATAACTCTTATTTTAGTAGATTTCAAAGAATCTTTATTTTTCATTTTTATTTTAAAGGGATACAAAAGAATGCTATCAATACTGTACCTCAGACATCTACCAGTGGTTTATATTTAATTTTTTTTAATTTTTAGTTTTTATATCTTACTTGTGTACTTGTTTTATTGAATAAAAAATATAAGATTTAAAAATAGACTGGATGGAACACATTGAAGATTCAAGTGATGGCAAAAATTATGACAATGATTGGGTGATTGATACAGTAAGCAGTAAGTATGAGACCAATTACATGTAGTTCATCCTGAATTTGAGAAAAATAGTGAGCACCCACTTTCACATAGTGAAATTATAAATACTTTGCTATCTAGACCGTTTTTGATAGCATCGACTGTATTTAGGCGCCGCCCAAATTAAAATTTTAGGACTTTTTTTATTTTATGTTTTTTTACAGCAAAAATTGCTTCTTGTCATAAAAAAATATAACAAAAACTAAAATATCTTGTATACTAATGTGATCATATGTGCTCACCATTAAATCAATAAAGCTTATTTAAATGCTTTGTCAACAAAAAATTTGTTGCTAACGCAGACAGAAAGTAATTCTTGCCCACACTTCCCTAAAAAGGTTTACGGGAGTGATTTACAGCTCGCGCGATAGTATTTTTTTCTCTTAAAAGTATAATTATCATTGTAACTAAAATGAAATGCAAATTTTATGTCTGAAGAATTTTTTCATGATGCAATAAATGACACTTGTTATGTGTATATTAATGCAACATTAACGTTACAAACATATGCTTGTAACAAGTATAAAACCATTTTGTATTTAATAAGCAAATATTATATAAATAAAAAATAAGCTGTGCAAAAATCAAAAGCTCTCGTAAAAAGTAGTTTAGAGAAGCAGCTCGCATGGCTCGCCATGTTCATTTTAGGAGATCTTTTCTCTGCTCTCGCGCTCATTTACTCCCCCCGAGGCCTGCTAACTTATTTATGACAAAATTACACATATCTTAATTTTAAGTACTAAAAGTTAATTTAAAGTTAATTGGCATAAAATGGCGAAAGCACCTTATTCCTGGCAAATTTCTTCTATAGTTAATTGTATTCCTTTATGTTCTCATATTGGTATTCCTAATTATTTGTATTTTCATAGTTTTCCTTGGTTGTAACGATGATTGAAGTCCATTTATTTCTGTTTTATTAACTATTATAAATTGAGTGTTTTTTTATTTTGGTAAATCAAAAATTGTAAAAATTTCAAAATTAAATAAAAGGATTTATACCAAAATATCTCAAAAACTTTTTTGATTTTTCAAATTTTCAAAAAGTTTTATAAAATTATTCCAAAACTACAACATAAGTATAATAACAAGCCATTTTTTTGTTTTTTCTGCTGATTTTATATGGATTTAATATTTCAATTTAAACAGTAACCACAAGAGTCTATATATAAAATTACCTTGTATTTTAAAAATTCTGATTAGTACCACCTAAGATTTGCTTTAAATTTTGATCAACTGCATACCTTGTGTAAAAATTAAACCCTGAATATTTCAACTAATCTGAACAATTTATTGATAGGTAATAAAAGAATCAATATAAACCAACTTCATTGAAATGTGGAGTTTAAATTTAAAATTGCTTGAAATTTATAATAAAAACAAAGATACTCATCCAAAATTAATGCATAGCATTTATTTAAATAAACTAAATTTTATTTGGACTAATTATAAACCATCAAGTTTTAACCAATTTATGACCTATTGTCTAAGTACTCTATCTATTTAGCATTGAAGATCTTGTGACTGTTATTGGTAATAATAACACAGCTTTTTTATCTCTTATTTGTAATTTACACAAATGAGTGATGGAAAAACTTGAAAGTTAAAAGCAAGAGTAAGGTGTGCCACTTTAAATAGTTAACAATGCATTATTTAATATTAAAGGAAAAATTAACCATACATGCATCCAGAGTGTTATGATCGATGGCAGTGAAATATAGGCAATGAAGATTGATGATGTCCAGTGCTTGAAAGAACAAAATAATGGCAAAATAAATGTGACATATGACTCTAATAGACAAGAAGAAAAGCGAGGACCTAAGACAGAGATTAGGAATAATAAGTATATCTGACTGGGTGAATTAGGGAAGATAATTGTTAAGGAAGAAGGTTGCTTAGACATGTTGAGCATGAAAACACAGATAATTGGGATTCATGTGGAGAGCTAGAGGTTTCAGTCTTTGCCAATAAATGCAATTTTAAAGGTAGATTATAGTGATGTCTATTGGTTAATAGTAATATAACTTGAGAAATCTGTTAAGATTTTTATTTTTGTAATACTCTAATGTATATAAAAAAAAAAAAAAAGATAATTTTTATACAAATGGTATAATAAAATCATCAATATTTAATATTTACATATAATACAAATTAAAATTAAAGACACTACAATATAATAGTATTAATAGACTGAATAATACAAAATAAATTAAAGACACTATTATTATAAATATGAACTGAATTAAATGATGGATTATATATTTTTAACTGGTATATATAACTATATATAACTTAATTTCAGACAATTTAAATTTGTTTTTTTTTAATTTGGTTATTATTGATTCATAACTTTTGAATAAATTGATTTTATTGATCTAGTATTTTAGGGTTGAGTTTTCTACATAAAATCTGTTGATTGTCAAAATTTGAAGCACCTCTGAGGTGTGCTACAAATTTTGACCAATGTATGCATGATTGAATGACTAATATTTAACTTTTTTTTAAGGTAAACAAATGAATGCTATCAATACAGTGCCTCAACCATCAACCAGTGGTTTAAATTTATTTTTATTAAATTTATTTTATTTTATATCTGTACTTGTTTTATGAAATAAAAATAATATTTTAAAACAGACTGGAAGGATCACACTGATGACTCAAGTGATGATGGAGATGATTGTGACAATGATTGGACGCTTGATACAGTAAGCAGTAAGTACAATACCAATTATGTGCATTTTACTTTTTTTATGATTATAGTGGGTAATAAGTATTTTGCTATTGTAGGGAAAAAAAATAATAAAAGAGTCAATCTAAATGAACAAAATGAAACTGGTAAGTAAATTAATAAATATTAACATTGGTATAGAATGATTTAGTATCACTACAAAGAAAAATCTTTGATAAAATTTTTCTTAGTAATAATATTTAAAAAATTAATAAAATTAAAAATTTTTTTTTGAACCATTAAAACTTTCTGACTTTTCCTTGACTTTTGTAAAATTTAATAAACTCCTCAACTTTTCCCTGACTTTTGATTAAATTTCCTTGACACTTCCAAGTTTTCCATGTTGCTAGCCACCCTGTTACATTATTTATAGTGTATTTATATTTGTTTTTGTCATTATTCAATTTATTTCTTTCACTTAAGTGTTATTATTCTATTAATAACAGGTTTGTATAAAAAAAGAAAAAAAACAGAGCTCCTACACAATAAAATAGCTGAAAACAAAACTGGTATAATATCTGCTTTAATATATGATACAGATGACAAATATAAACTATATTATACTTTTAAACTTAAACTTTTTCATAATTTTATTATATGGTATTTGTTAATTAATAGATAAAAATTATATTATAGGGCGTTCATACTTTCAATGGAGCAAAGAACAAATAAAACATTTTTACAGTGTTTTTGGCTCATTTATTACTGGAGCAAACCAGGAGTATTTTCCGGGTAAATTTAAAATGCTTTGTTAAAATTTTGAGTTTTTTATATTAAAGGGGTTATTTTGGTTAAAATAGTACTACCATTTCAATGAAAATATATTCAACACATTCCCAGTAATAAAAAACACACAACAAATTTAATTATAAAATTGTTAACAAATTTTAAAATTTTCATTTTAAAGCATTAAAGCAAATAAAAGAATTCAGTGAGCACTATAAAATTGATCTTCACAAAGTAAGAACAAAAATCAATAATGAGCGCAAAAAAATGATTAACTTACAGAAAAAAAGAATAAAAGAAATGAATATTTCAAACATATAAAAGTAAGTTTTATTTGTAAAAAAGTTTTCTTAGAAAAAAGATTTTAACTTGTTTTGAAGTAATTAAAGAGTTTTTATACATTTTTTTTTAGTTTTATTTGTCATTATTTGTCAAAGAAGAACTTTTTACATGAAGAGATAAGGAACAAAAATATTTTCACAAAAGAACTCTTTATTTTTTTATGTTTAACTCATACTTTATATACATAACTGAAGATTTTGAAATATCTGCTTTTGATTTTTTTAAACCATTTTTTTTTGCTTGGTAATCAAAATAAAATTTTGGTCATGATGTAAAATTTTTTTTTTTTAAACTAAACCAATCTGTTATCAAATAGGCAACTTAATCAAAACTTATTGAAAGCATAATAGTTAAATATTACAGAATGTCTCTTTCATCTTTTTAATCCTTAAGGTTGCATTAACATCATCTCCGATATACAAAAATTTTAAAATTAATAATTTTTAAAACATTAAAAAAAAAAACATAAAAAAACATTGAATAAATCCACATTCAATGATCTTTTTAACAACGTGAAAAAAAACATTTTTTGCTGATAACTTAATCTGGAGATAAGTTACCACAACATAAAAATCCTGCAAAAAAAAATCTTGTATAAAAAATTTGGAGCTTTATTTTATTTTTATTAATACTAATTTATTTGAAAGACCTATGATAACAATAACAAACACTAATAAGTAAAAAATTTACATAAATTTTTTAGAACTCAAACTTATACTGAAACAGTAACAAGCTTATATTAAATATATTTTTTTTAAATATATTTTGATGTTTATATAAAAATAAAATAATAAAATTACAATGAAACTTTTACATTACACAAAGAATATATATAAAACAGACAGGGGATGACTGGTGTCACCACAATCTTTTCATAGAGCCGCTTCACAATATCATTTAAAGCCCACATGGCTTTAGAAAATTTACAACAAATATTTTATCGAGTAGGTACAATCGGCGGGGCGGGGCGGATCAGCGGGGCGGATCATTTTAATGGTACAAACGGCGGGGCGGATTATTTATGTTTTGATCGAATAAATGAAACTTTAAGTTTTAAAGATTTTTTTTACCAAAAAACGTGATCCGCTAGTTTATATCAAGTGATCCGCCTAATATTTTGATTGCTTATATCAAACTCTTTAAGTTTTAATGATTGTTCTACCAAAAAACCATGTGATCCGCTAGTTTATATCAAGTGACCAGCCTAATATTTTGATTGCTTATATCAAACTCTTTAAGTTTTAATGACTGTTCTACCAAAAAACAACGTGATCCGCTAGTTTATATCAAGTGACCAGCCTAATATTTTGATTGCTTATATCAAACTCTTTAAGTTTTAATGACTGTTCTACCAAAAAACAACGTGATCCGCCAATTTATATCAATTGATCCGCCTAATATTTTGATTGCTTATATCAAACACTTTAAGTTTTAAAGATTTTTTTTACCAAAAAACGTGATCCGCTAGTTTATATCAAGTGATCCGCCTAATATTTTGATTGCTTATATCAAACTCTTTGAGTTTTAATGATTGTTCTACCAAAAAACAACGTGATCCGCCAATTTATATCCAGTGATCCGCCAAACTTCATATAGTGATCTGTCTTATAATTTGATCGAATAAATGAAACTTTTTCAATTTTAATGATTGTTTTACCAAAAAACAACGTGATCCGCCAGTTTATATCAATTGATCCGCCAAATATTTTGATTGCTTATATCAAACTCTTTAAGTTTTAATGACTGTTCTACCAAAAAACAACGTGATCCGCCAATTTATATCAATTGATCCGCCTAATATTTTGATTGCTTATATCAAACTCTTTAAGTTTTAATGACTGTTCTACCAAAAAACAACGTGATCCGCCAATTTATATCAATTGATCCGCCTAATATTTTGATTGCTTATATCAAACACTTTAAGTTTTAAAGATTTTTTTTACCAAAAAACGTGATCCGCTAGTTTAAATCAAGTGATCCGCCTAATATTTTGATTGCTTATATCAAACTCTTTAAGTTTTAATGATTGTTCTACCAAAATACAATGTGATCCGCTAGTTTATATCAAGTGACCAGCCTAATATTTTGATTGCTTATATCAAACTCTTTAAGTTTTAATGACTGTTCTACCAAAAAACAACGTGATCCGCCAATTTATATCCAGTGATCCGCCAAATTTCATATAATGATCTGTCTTATAATTTGATCGAATAAATGAAACTTTTTAAATTTTAATGATTGTTTTACCAAAAAACAACGTGATCCGCCAGTTTATATCAATTGATCCGCCTAATATTTTGATTGCTTATATCAAACTCTTTAAGTTTTAATGACTGTTCTACCAAAAAACAACGTGATCCGCCAATTTATATCAATTGATCCGCCTAATATTTTGATTGCTTATATCAAACTCTTTGAGTTTTAATGATTGTTCTACCAAAAAACAACGTGATCCGCCAGTTTATATCAATTGATCCGCCTAATATTTTGATTGCTTATATCAAACTCTTTAAGTTTTAATGACTGTTCTACCAAAAAACAACGTGATCCGCCAATTTATATCAATTGATCCGCCTAATATTTTGATTGCTTATATCAAACACTTTAAGTTTTAAAGATTTTTTTTACCAAAAAACGTGATCCGCTAGTTTATATCAAGTGATCCGCCTAATATTTTGATTGCTTATATCAAACTCTTTGAGTTTTAATGATTGTTCTACCAAAAAACAACGTGATCCGCCAATTTATATCCAGTGATCCGCCAAACTTCATATAGTGATCTGTCTTATAATTTGATCGAATAAATGAAACTTTTTAAATTTTAATGATTGTTTTACCAAAAAACAACGTGATCCGCCAGTTTATATCAATTGATCCGCCTAATATTTTGATTGCTTATATCAAACTCTTTAAGTTTTAATGACTGTTCTACCAAAAAACAACGTGATCCGCCAATTTATATCCAGTGATCCGCCTAATATTTTGATTGCTCATATCAAACTCTTTGAGTTTTAATGATTGTTCTACCAAAAAACAACGTGATCCGCCAGTTTATATCAATTGATCCGCCTAATATTTTGATTGCTTATATCAAACTCTTTAAGTTTTAATGACTGTTCTACCAAAAAACAACGTGATCCGCCAATTTATATCAATTGATCCGCCTAATATTTTGATTGCTTATATCAAACACATTAAGTTTTAAAGATTTTTTTTACCAAAAAACGTGATCCGCTAGTTTAAATCAAGTGATCCGCCTAATATTTTGATTGCTTATATCAAACTCTTTAAGTTTTAATGATTGTTCTACCAAAATACAATGTGATCCGCTAGTTTATATCAAGTGACCAGCCTAATATTTTGATTGCTTATATCAAACTCTTTAAGTTTTAATGACTGTTCTACCAAAAAACAACGTGATCCGTCAATTTATATCAATTGATCCGCCTAATATTTTGATTGCTTATATCAAACACTTTAAGTTTTAAAGATTTTTTTTACCAAAAAACGTGATCCGCTAGTTTATATCAAGTGATCCGCCTAATATTTTGATTGCTTATATCAAACTCTTTGAGTTTTAATGATTGTTCTACCAAAAAACAACGTGATCCGCCAATTTATATCCAGTGATCCGCCAAACTTCATATAGTGATCTGTCTTATAATTTGATCGAATAAATGAAACTTTTTCAATTTTAATGATTGTTTTACCAAAAAACAACGTGATCCGCCAGTTTATATCAATTGATCCGCCAAATATTTTGATTGCTTATATCAAACTCTTTAAGTTTTAATGACTGTTCTACCAAAAAACAACGTGATCCGCCAATTTATATCAATTGATCCGCCTAATATTTTGATTGCTTATATCAAACTCTTTAAGTTTTAATGACTGTTCTACCAAAAAACAACGTGATCCGCCAATTTATATCAATTGATCCGCCTAATATTTTGATTGCTTATATCAAACACTTTAAGTTTTAAAGATTTTTTTTACCAAAAAACGTGATCCGCTAGTTTAAATCAAGTGATCCGCCTAATATTTTGATTGCTTATATCAAACTCTTTAAGTTTTAATGATTGTTCTACCAAAATACAATGTGATCCGCTAGTTTATATCAAGTGACCAGCCTAATATTTTGATTGCTTATATCAAACTCTTTAAGTTTTAATGACTGTTCTACCAAAAAACAACGTGATCCGCCAATTTATATCCAGTGATCCGCCAAATTTCATATAGTGATCTGTCTTATAATTTGATCGAATAAATGAAACTTTTTAAATTTTAATGATTGTTTTACCAAAAAACAACGTGATCCGCCAGTTTATATCAATTGATCCGCCTAATATTTTGATTGCTTATATCAAACTCTTTAAGTTTTAATGACTGTTCTACCAAAAAACAACGTGATCCGCCAATTTATATCAATTGATCCGCCTAATATTTTGATTGCTTATATCAAACTCTTTGAGTTTTAATGATTGTTCTACCAAAAAACAACGTGATCCGCCAGTTTATATCAATTGATCCGCCTAATATTTTGATTGCTTATATCAAACTCTTTAAGTTTTAATGACTGTTCTACCAAAAAACAACGTGATCCGCCAATTTATATCAATTGATCCGCCTAATATTTTGATTGCTTATATCAAACACTTTAAGTTTTAAAGATTTTTTTTACCAAAAAACGTGATCCGCTAGTTTATATCAAGTGATCCGCCTAATATTTTGATTGCTTATATCAAACTCTTTGAGTTTTAATGATTGTTCTACCAAAAAACAACGTGATCCGCCAATTTATATCCAGTGATCCGCCAAACTTCATATAGTGATCTGTCTTATAATTTGATCGAATAAATGAAACTTTTTAAATTTTAATGATTGTTTTACCAAAAAACAACGTGATCCGCCAGTTTATATCAATTGATCCGCCTAATATTTTGATTGCTTATATCAAACTCTTTAAGTTTTAATGACTGTTCTACCAAAAAACAACGTGATCCGCCAATTTATATCCAGTGATCCGCCTAATATTTTGATTGCTCATATCAAACTCTTTGAGTTTTAATGATTGTTCTACCAAAAAACAACGTGATCCGCCAGTTTATATCAATTGATCCGCCTAATATTTTGATTGCTTATATCAAACTCTTTAAGTTTTAATGACTGTTCTACCAAAAAACAACGTGATCCGCCAAT